GATAAAACTCCCTATGATGGGCCACCCACATCAACCTCGTTAACCATTACCTCCGCTGATCCGTTCACAATTAGAATTTCGACGTATCACTTAAGAGGGACATTTCTCAGAAAATAATTTCTGTATAAATCAGGAACATCTTATGGAGTTACAACACGGTCGAAATAACAGGGTTTATAAGCCGCGGCCCCTTACTGCCCCCCGACATTTTACCAATTGTAGTATTTTTTTTTTTTTTTTACAAAGGTTTTAACAAAATAAAAAGAAAAGAAGAACTATCAAAGCAAAGAGAAATATAACTTTCATAAAACCCCGATGAAAATTCTTAAGGGTAAATTCTTAAAAATAAAAATATGCACCCCCTCCCCACATTTGTCTTTACTACAGCCTTGAATAAAACAATTCTTGGAAACTAAAACTGTTAAGATGGTTAGTAAACAAAAGAGACACTACAATTAGAAAATCGAACAAGTCCCGTGGATATAGTTCGCGAAACTTCTCCTTTTTTAAAATAATCTCATTGTTGGGGTTATAAAATAAAAAAGTAACAGAAATACAAAGAAGCAGAGGAGTTTGGTACGTGCCATCTAGAAAAAGAAGAGGGCCCGCTTCAACCTTTCAACTTTACTCTCCTTGGATTTCCTTCGATTTTTCCTGAATCCAATGCCTGACTGCAACCAGTCATGCCATTCATTAGATATTATTGCAAAGTAAATAGCATTACGCTGGCTAAAAAGTAATGATCGACCACTTAGCCAGACTGGTTATCGTTGTCACTTGCAGGCAACCATTGAAATATTCCAGATGGCATTTTATGACAGAATATCCTTTTGGAAAAAAAGAAAAGACAAATGAAAGGCTGGATGGATGGATGGACGGACGAAGCGTGAAGACTACTATCTCCGTCTATAGGCTCTCTTTCTTTTCCAAGTCTCTCACTTTTCTCTCTTTATAAGCCACAGTAAAAACAGATATAAAAGAGTCACAAAAAAATTGTGGGAAATGGTTGTTTGAGGAGAAATAATTGTGGAAGTGGCGCGGGGTCCGTTCAAACCAGGCTTGGTACCAGGTCAGAGATGACTCTCCTTAACCCCTCACCCACCCACTCAATCGACAACACCGTCTAACTTCTTTTCCTCTCTTTCTCTTTCACATTTCAGGAAGGAAAAAAGAACTCCCAGTGTTCCAATATGCAGGTATTAAAGCAGGTTTATTCTATATTCAATTTAGCATATGGGTTGCAATTTTACAAAATCAATCATTCGCCAAGATGACAGTGAAATGAAAGATAGAATAATTACTTGAATAATGACCCCAGAAGAGAGGGGGTAGCCAGATAAGAGATGATGCGGTAGGGAGCTAACAAAGTAGTGGTTAGCAGGAGACCCTCATTTTCTTTTCTTTGACCAACCACTGCTTTACCCAACTTTGCCTTGCTTTGTCCACCCAACCAGTGTTCTCCGGACAACCTTATAACCCTCGCATTACCTTGCATTCCCCCTCTTCTTCCACCCCAGCGACTGACTGACGACGGCAACGTCCTCTCCTTCTTCCGACAGCTCACCAAACCCGTGCCATATAATGGATCAATTCTATAATCATGGCACCGGGATGATGCTGTGGCGGCCAGAGGACAAACCACCCTAATTCCTAGTCCCGGTCGGAGGACATTTGTTCAATAAACCACCATTATCGCTGTCACCACCGATGACCCCACCCACCAAGTCACACACGTATGCTCATATATAAGAATAAGCATTAAAACATGATGCAGGATCCTGATATACACAAGTGTATGAACGTGTATACTCCTATTTGTCTATTTATGCATACGAGTGCGTGAATAAAGAGTCGGAGATGGAATGTGTTCGAAATGGCTTGTTGTTAAGTTGTACTAGATAAAAAAATTCAATTAGGGTTTGCCTCGATCTTATAAGACAATGGCAAAACGAGTTCTCGTCTGTGTGACGGCATCAGTTCGCTGGAACATGGAATAATTACCATTCACCAAACTCACTCTTTGACAAAAACGTCGTAAGAATAATAATAGTAACAACGAATGATTATTTCTGCAACCAGAAACAATCATTTTTTTTATATTAATATAGATTAAGCACTTTAGACCACTCGGTAGTGTGGAGGTGTTAATGGTTTAATCGGTTTGGAATGAGAAACAGAGTCGAGTTCGAATTCCAATCGGGTTTGTTACATTCACTTACGCGCAAATATCTTGGGAAAGGTATAAATCCAGCTATGGGTTAAATAGCAGGACACCCTATAGCCTTTGGTTGGCAAACCTACTACGATAAAATCTCCTGCCTAGTACAATTATTTACATTATTCGGTTCTTGTCCCATCTTTTATCGCCATATTACAACGTTTCGGCTGTTGTACGCTCCGGCCTTCTTCAGGTGGTTGGAATGTCGAACTGAACCCTTTATTTCGCTCACTGGGGCAGACTGTTTCCAGTTCCACGTGCCATGTTTTTAATGGATGTCAGTTATCAGTTATCTCTTGTTAATTCCCCTCTGAAAGTTCTCCATACCGGGTATTGAACTCACACACAGTGGCACAGTGGATAAAGACGTTAGTTAGATCCAGTGACAGGACCCAAAGAGTGTGAGTTCAATACCCTGTTAGGGCAGAATAAGGCCGGAGCGTACAACGGCCGAAACGTTGTAATAAATATGGCGACAAAAATGAGGACATTAGTTCGAATAATGTAAATAGTGTATATAATACCTCATGTCAGAAATATAGACAGCTCCTGTCTAGTTTCTCATGAATCCAACAAGATATCATCAGCAAGCGTGTATCATATATGGAACTTAACTGACTGACTTCAGATCGTGGATATCAATTTTATCAATTAATTTTATAAAAGTCAATGTGGGGTGGTGGTGGCATATTCAACTATGCAAAGCCAACACACATGATTTGATTATAGTACAGCTTTGCCAGAACCACACTTTTTGAAGGGGCCGAATCCAGAGACCTGGTTCACTACATACCACAAGGTCCCAAACGACCCCGCAGGTTTTGAATTCTGAGTTGTCCTTCTCCTAGACCAGTTGCCATCCAAGGCTATAGAAACCAGTCTGTCTTGCCATTTACCCATAGCTGGGAGGAGAAGAAAAGGGATTCATTGCTTACCCAAATTTATTAGCACGTAAGTGAATGTAATAATATATATATATATATATATATATATATATTATATACATGGTATTTTATATAGAAAGCGCTCAATATCAGAGATTGAGCTAATATATTTATTAGATTGATGGGGTTTGTGACAACTCACATCAATCCAACTAAATTTATATATATATATATATATATATATATAGATAGATAGAGAGAGAGGGGGTTGAGGCAAGCTATATTTATGGGGAAACAGTGGTAATATCAGAGACTAAGGGTATATAGATAGGAAAATATGAAAATGACACTGGTGCCAATATCGTTTCATATTTGGACGCAATCTTCAGGCATGAAACCTCGGCTGAAGATTACGTTTAAACATGAAACAGACTGTCGCCATCCGGTGTTGACCTTACTGTCCACTTTTAAAACGCCTTTAAAACTCATTAAATTTAAAAAAAGTTATTCCAAAATTGCTTGAAGATGAATCAGAACTAATGCTTTTAATTTAATTATATAATTAAAGTTATTAGCTTCGGTTTTTGAAACATGGTAATTCCTGTGTAGTGAAGAAACCATATTTTAAATCAGTTAATTTATAATATATATATATATATATATATATATATTGTATATATATGGAAATTTATTTCCGGTTGAGAATTGTATTAACATCACATAGTAGCTTATGTTAGTATTTTGTCAGAATGTTGCTACCAGCAGCCTATATTATATAGAGTAGATTCATACTCAACAGAAATTATGATCCTATAAGCAGTCGTTCGTTTTAAACTGATTAACAGAACCAAAAGATCCGATAGAAAAATGTAATAATTGTTCTTACGCAACTGTCCGAAATTAAGTAGATTTTATTCTAACTAATGTCCGTTTAACTGAAATCATGCATATATATATATATATATATATATATATATATATATATATATATAAAACCACGTTGCAAAAACGAGCAGGGCTAATGTCAGAGGAAAATTGCGATTGTCCCCAGGACAGGTCTTTCCACATTCTTACTCGGCAATCCTTCCCACGTGTCCATCCAATCATACACGTTCATCTTTAATATCATGGCAGTGAAATGTCAATTAGTGCAAATAACTCGAAGAGCAAGGAGTCGGTGGGCGAACGACAGGGAAGGAGGTGGAATAGTCAGGGGTTGGCTTGTTCTAAGAGGACGAAGACATAGGGATAGGGATTTGAGATAGGGGTGAAAAAAGGGGCATGGGGTTTCGTTGAGTGCCCAATTTAGTCTAATACTGGAACGCTTCGACAATTAGGAGAAAGCTGCGCCGGTTGGAATCAGTTCAGGCAATAACGAAATGGGCGTAAAAGATTTGATTTTTGAAACAGGGCATCTTTTTTTTGGTGCTCTGAGAAACGCCTATTTGTTTTTATTTTTTATGTTGCTACAAATTGAGAGGATATGTAAGAAAATGGAGGTAAACTGAAAAAGAAAAAAATGCAAGAAAATCGAAGACAAGACAGAGGGGGACGATAAAGAAAAAACGAAACGAAGGTTTTTTTCTTAATGTTCCTCCAGGACGTAGACGATCATGACTCCCCACAGATTCCTGCCAAAACCTTTGGGGAATGTTAGTAGAGTGGTTTCCCGTTGCTTTTCCAATGATTTGAAATTCAGAATTTTCTTTTCTTAAACTGATTTTTATCCAAAGCTAGAGGGCACAGTGTTCCATGCTATTTAATCCATAGCTGAGGGGCGATGAGATAGATTCATGTCTTTCCCAAGAGCATTTTAGCGAAAGAGCATAAGCGGCAAATCTGGAATGTGAACTTTGATCCCAGAGTTTTAATTTCCATGACGATAACCGTTTCGCTACTCACTCGACAGATCCGCGAGAAAGAAGGTGAAATAGCAAAACGATGAGAGAGAAAGAGATAGCAGAAAGAGAGAGTGAGTGAGGAGATAGATCCGTGAGAAAGAAGGTGAAGAGATGAAAAAAATGATGAGAGAAAGAGTAGTAAGACAGGAGAAAAAAAAATGAATTCTTGAATGAGTGAAAGAGAGAGAAGAAGAATAAGAAGGGTGAGGAGGAAAATTCTTGAAAGAAAGAAAGAGAGAAGAAGATAGATCCTTGAGAAAGAAGTGAAAAAGGATCCGAGAGAGAGAGAGAGAGAGAGAGAGGAGAAGATAGATTCTTGAGAAAGAGGTGAAAAGTATCAGAGAGAGAGAGAGAGAGAGAGAGAGAGAGAGAGAGAGAGAGAGAGAAGATAGATAGATCCTTGAGAAAGAAGTGAAAAAAGATCCGAGAGAGATAGAGAAGAAGATAGATTCTTGGGAAAGAGGCGAGAGAGAGAGAGAGAGAGAAAGACAAGAGAAATTCCATCAGAATATGCGATCAGGAAAAAGACAAAAATACGACCAGGAAGGAGAGTCGTGACAAAGATAGAAACGTGAATAAAAGAGTTAAATCAAAACCAAAGGAGAATCGGCAATATTATTGGTCCTGACCTTGCATCTCGACTTTATCACTTATTAATATATTCAAACCAACCAGTAAATTTTGGAGTTGACATTTTATGATAAGCGCATGCGTTTACAAATTTAATAAGTAGATTCAACAACACAGCAGCAATGCCAATCGACATGTTTTTTTTTTTTTTTTTTTTTTAATGAAAATCAGATTATCCGAAAATCTATCTTTTCACATTCTGCACATTACTCAAAAATGTTTTTAATTGACTTACCTAGCTGGGTATAATTGCAACATTGAACTGATGATGGTGTGGTGTCTCAGAATTCCAATTCTGACATGGATACTTGGTTTGGTAAAATTGAAGTGACCCTTGTAGGTCATTCCTGTATCTTTGTAACATGTTATGTCTGTAAGTAAAAAAACAAGAAAGAATAAAACTCTAAAAGCATGTAATTTATATTGCCATGAAAAAAAAAAAAAGCTTAAATCAACTGTAAAAAAGTGCAAACATAAGAAATAATGAAACATCGGCTGCATAGAAAACGTAAATATATATCTTCAAAATTGCTTGTTCTAACCTAATAGCAAGCTTGTCTCATGAGGGACCAATTTTTGCGAAAGGAACCAATGCAGCATAAACAGTAGTAAATATAGTTAGGCAGAAACACAGACGACCGAAATAGCTAAAGATGTCTTTCAGAAACTAAGAGAAGCATTAAGAATTATGAAAATGACCTGAGAAACAAAGTTATGTTAACGAAAGATGCCAACTAGAAACTGAGCAAAAGTATTAAGAAATAAGAAAAATGCCCTTTAGAAAAGAAAGAGAGAAAGAAAAGAATACATAAAAAGGCGCTTTCCAGACACCGAGCAAAGTATCTAAACATAGAAAATTCCGTTTGAAAACTGCTATGTCATATCTTGTTTCCTATATAGCAGTGAATGCTTAAAAATTTCTTCGCTGATGATGAAGAGACCCAGTTGATAGAGATGATGCTGAGAAGACCACGCACCCAATCAACATTCTGAGAAGAAAGAATTACAAGGATCAACAATTTGCGTGCCATGCGATAATATTATTTAGGCGATCATGTATCTTTCGGTACATGACTGGATGAGGCAGATTTTTCCCGCAGGTTGCTATTTTCTTGCGGATAGACCAGTTGCCATCCAAGACTATAGAACCCAGTCTGTACTGCCATTTACCCATAGGCCGAGGGAGAAGAAATTATTACATACTTTTCCCAAGGGTATTAGCACGTAAATGAATGTAATGGATTAGACCGAATTCGAAACCGGTTTCCAAATGGATACTTACAATTAAAATCAGAACGCGGCAGTTGAAATTTCCGTGTCACATTATAAAGAAAAACAGGTTTGGAAAGCTTGTTATTCGCAGGACATTGACGATACTGAGAGAAATAGTGAGCTATCTTAATTAGTTTGAGTGAAGGGTAAGTGTGTCAAACGTTGCTTTAGAAACACCAAAAGGACAGAGGATGGGAGAGCCATGCTTGCCCAATGTACAATTGAAGAAGAGGAACAAATAAGTTAAAAGCATGTGTTTCGGAATAATTCGTTAGTGCAGTGAATGTTAATGAGAATACATGAAATAGCTAAAATCTATAAACGATAGAAAATTGGGGAGAGCCATGATGGCCAGTGTCCTTAAGAGACATGGCACATAGAAGTTATATATTCTAAAGCCTATTATTTGGAAATCTTGAAATTTGACATTAAATTTCGGCTAATTTGGGAAAATTATTGATTCCTTGTGGGTGACGAATTCTTCTTCACCCTTCAACTTCTCTCCCACAGGCGGTTATGTGGAAAGCCTTTCACTGTTCTATCGGTACTTCCACGGAAAGTGCTCGGACGAACTACACTCCCTGGCCCTGCTAAGTCAAAGCTCCACTTAACACAGTAGCAAGCTTATAACATGGAAGATATATTAGAAGGAAAAATTGTCCAGTACAACATGGGTGTACCAACTTTCCTAGCAGTTGACTCATATAATCTTTTTCAATTCATGTCAACGGAAAATGTTAGTCCGAGAAAAGTGAAATGAATAACTGTCCTGAGGGTTAGCATCAGCCAGGTTGATGAAGACAAAAAAAAAAAAAAATCTCCCAGACGATTAAAAAAAGAGCAGTTATGTAAATGTCATTGAACGATTATTTTGACGAGCATCCTGTTTTTTTTGTTGTGCTTACCTAATATTTTCAGCAGTTATATTCTTCGGCTTTTGTCTAGAAAAAAAAAGGAAAAGAAAAAAGATAATCTGAAAGAATTGGTGTAATGTCTTTTAACCATGTGGGCTTAGGAAAACGACTTTATTTTTACTATAATGTTTGCTAATTTCAACGGCTCTCGGTTTTAGAACGATCTGTCAATATAGTTTGATAAAGATAATCCCTTGTCAAAACAAGAAATGACACCTTTAGAGGAGAGATTAACGTCTTCAGAGTTTAACATGCTTAATTGAATATGTTTTGCCTCATCGACAACTATGGGCATGACACGAGACATTATTGAGGTGTCAGAATCTGACAGATATATCGATTGGTAAAGTAAGAAAGTTTCAAGTGGCGTCATGTTTACCAGGCCGTATACGTTTTAAAAAAGACAGAGCCGAATTTTCTTTCAAGCAATCCAGGGTTTTCTACGCCTTTTGTAAAAAAAAAAAAAAAAAAAAAAATATCCTGGCAATTCGAAAAGAGTATGTTTTTAGTATTATAATTATGGATAGTATTTGGTTTGAATTATTTAGATGAACTTTATTATTTATCGGACAATGTCAACATTAACACAAAACACCTGATTTCACATCAGAAAAAAATATACTTATTAGTTGTATGATTCTGCAACATATGTACTCTGTCAATGAAGGGTAAAATTAAAAATGTAGAAAAGAAGGTCAAAGGCTCGTTAACTATACCCTGTACCCGGGAAATGGGTCAAAGCCACGGCAAGAAAATGCTAAGCCACTGACATAGTAGTAAATCACCCATTATCTCCCTCCTGTATTTCATTGATGGAGAAGTAAAGTTTGACTCGAGCAGCTTTTCACGCGAACCACTGCCCTGTGGAGCTGACTCTACCAGGATGTTTCCCTTAACACAAAACCATACTTGTTAGTTACGACTCTGCAAGATAAATAGTCTGGTTAGAAAGGCAGATTTCAAGACAAGGCTCGTGGTTAACATCATCACGGCTTAGGTCTTTTGGGACGATAAATAATTTGTTTAATAATTGTATTTATATCTATTCTCATAGCAAATAATTTCTTTAAAATAGTGGTGCGCTTACAAATGGAGTACGTATTTATTATTTGAACTTGAAAAACCTAAGAAGCTTTAAAGAAAGACGAATTCAGAAAATTAAGGAAAATCAACAAATTGATTGAGCTTTAAAAATCGAATGTACCCTATGCTTGTAGTAAAGCTCCCAAGACAC